GAAAAACTGAACAAGGTGCTGATTTACAGTCTCATCTGAATTGAATGTTATACCACGCAAGGAGTATGCCCTAAATGCCGCTGCAAGTGTCCTTATAAAAGGGAGGCAGAGGGAGATTTGATGACCACACAAGAGGAAAAGGCCAGGTGACCACAGAGGCAGAGATTGGAGAGATGTGGCCACAGCCAAGAAATGCTGGGGCCACCAAAGTTAAAGGAGGCAAAGGACGGATCCTGCCCTGAGGCCTCCGTGGCCCCCCCCCTCCCCCGACACCTTCATTCCAGCCCAGCGATACTAGTGCCAAAACTGTGAGAGAATAAATGTGTGTTTTCAGCCGCCATGTTTGTGGTGACTTGTTACGGTAACCCTGGACAGCACTGTCCTTTGTGCCGCCTCTATCGGGACCATGGCTCTGGGACAGCACACCACACCGGACGGCAACCTTCTGCTCCCCAGTGGGCTCTGAGCTCCTGGAGGGAAGGGCCCTGCTCCATCATGTTGGTTCCCCAGGACTACCGGAGGGGCAGAACGCCCGGGGCTCAGTCACCTATTGTTAAATAAGAGGACGACGACTTTGGTGACAGCAGAGCTGTCTGCCTTCCAGAAAAATCCCTCTAGCTTCACCTCCAGAATGATTTCTCTCTGGGTCAAGCCGGCCTGGGTCTCTGTTCCTCCGGCAGCATTCCAAGGAGCTACTTTTATTTTGTAGAAAAGAAAGTTTCTGGTCAGATGGCTCTTCGTTGGTTCTCTACAACCCGTTGCCGGCTCATTACCTAAAGCTGATGGAAAGCCACCTGTGCAGTCTTGTTGCTGGAGGGCTGGTGCAGAGCGAGAGCTTGCACTTTTATTAAAAAAAAAAAAAATCACCAGCCATGCACCCCAACAGAAATGAGCCGGTGAAGGAGAGAGGAGAAATGGATGAAGCTGTTCCTTTCCAGAAGCAGGGCACGTCCCGGAAGCGAGGCCCATCCTGCCCACACTCCTCAGAATTCTAAGCAGCTGAAATGTTTTACTGTGACAAGGAGTTTGTCAGCCCCACCACCTGCAGCATCATGGGCTGATTTTATATCACCAGGAAAATGAGGACCAAGTTGCTATATTAGTATTGGGTCTTCGGAAATGTCACGATGCATGATTGTGACAGATGGCACTAGTTCATTTTTGGAAGTACTATAGTCATTCTCATCTATGTTATTGCTAATCATTTGACAGCTGACAGTTTTAGCTTCATTCTACAAAAAAATTGAGCGATTTGGTTGAGTTTTGGAGGTTTTACAACAAGTTGAAGATGGAAGACCAAACTGTGCATTTTTGCCATATTTTACTGTTTTACTTCCATAAAGGGAAGAAC